CATAGGTCAACAATTTACTAGTCAAACGTTCAAAATAAGAATAACTTTAATTTTTTCGATCCTAGTAAACGCAAACCATTTGTAAACGTGCATAGTTGGTCATTTCTTTACTTATTCTACTTATAAGTTTTTATAACTTCCGTTATGATGGTAGGAATGATGTTTTAGTGTGATTTGTCCGATGAGCTCATTATATTGGCGCGTGAATCGCACCACACCCGTCCCATCTTGCGTGTTAAGCTCCGTTGGTAATTCAGATTCCGATCTGCTTCAATTTGCCTACATTTTTTTCCACCTGGTAGTTATTTTTCATAATACTTCCGTACTAACTTATTTATTTTCCTTCCGCTTGCCCTGTTAAATGGACTATCTGTGTGGGTGGTGTAGTGAAGGGGCGCACTATATCACACGTACGGTCAGGGGGTCGAATCCCGGATCAATATCCGCCTAGGCCTACCAAGCTTTTCATCCCTCCGGTGTCGGGTAATTGGTACCATACTTGTCTGGGAGGATAAAAGCACTGACTTGTACATCGACTGGCCACCGCAAGTCATTGTATAGGCCACATACGCACTCATTACGCCACTACGATTCTGAATGGAAGTCGAGTGCGGGGGCGCATCCCTCAGACGGGATTGATTACGGCCAAAAACTTTATCCTCTTATTATCTATGTGTCCGATCAATGAATAAATAAGAACTCCTAAGTCTTCCGCTACATTCCTCAAGAGTCATAGCCACGTAGCCATTACAGTACTCATTGTTCTCAAAGATACTCGTCCTCAAGCCTATTTTATGGTTTACATTGAGGGCGTTCAGTCAAGAAAGTGCCGAAGTGGGGAAAGGGATTACATCTAGTTGACGTCATATAATTTACAAAAACTGGCCTATAAATCTTAGTTATTTCGGCTCGAAACTTGGGCCTAATCCTTCCTCAAATTCTTATACAGTAGAATCGAAGTTTTCTGATAGAAACTATTTGTCAAGAAACAAATGAGTCATAACCACCGTTCGCATTTACTTCCTACTTTGTACACCTTACCCTTACCAGCGATTATACTTGGATACCTAATAGGAGGATCAGATTAGGTATACTCCGAGACGTGAGAAGCTTCGCATGCACCTTTTTTTAAACCTTGTAATTCTGCTGGAAACTGACCCTTGTGGCGTCGATCATGTCACTGGTGGCAGTAGCGACACGTCGAGCAGCAGCCAGTAGACGATCCTTCTGCTCTGGGTGCTCGTGTGCTTCATGTTCGAATTGCTCCATAAGGATCTGACTGTGTCGAATGACCTTCTTGGCTTCACGGGTTAGATCTTCGCTTGGTCCCTGAAACAACGTAACCAGTACTCCGAGTATTCTCAGCCCTGTCACCCTAGAGTAAGCTTCTGAAAATTGCTAAATCTGAGTCTGATCCCTACAAAATCCTTTTGTTACCCTTTACAATTCCTGCTCAACTGCTTCCCGGAACTGAAGCTCAAGATATTTGCATGAAAGTCACAAACCTGATGTGCAAGAAGTCTGTGGCTCGTTCTCAACACCTCATTGTACTGCTCCTCCTCAGTGGTTCTTGTGATCTTCGGTGACGTCTTCACATGTTCCAGTAGGCTATCCAGAGCATATGTTACCTATATTACAGTGGTTTGTTTGTTTGTTTGGCTTGCACTGATACGGTAGTTCGAGCTTACCTGTCTAGCAGCTTCATGAATATCCGTGAGTGATTGTCGTCCATCGGTATGGCTTCGTTCACAGGCGTATTCAGCATCATGCAGTAATTCCGTAACTGCATGCGATACCTGAACGAGTACTACATAGCAGGAAAAGGTTAAATGCCAAACAACACCCTACTAGGTCTCTTTTCAGACGGCACATTCGGTAAGGACGGGTTTTTTCTGGCCTCAGTACATTTGCTTTTGATCCTATAGAAACCAAACGGAAATCGTACGAAAGAAAGACACATCACCAGTCCAGCCCTCAATAATCCTTTCAGTCAAAGAATTTCCGGTTGGAAGGAGGGTGGAGCTCCTAAAGACGACCCATTTCCCCCATATTACCCCATGGAGGTCATTCTGTGGTACAGAAGCTACCATCTTACCTGTTTGGCGGCATTCGTAAGCTGTTCTTGACATGCATTGCTTTCGATCGTCGGCGCGACAACTCGGGCACACGCGACGAGTTGCGACGTCGCGAAAGCGCATTGTGTCGCTGAATGGATGACTTTCTCCTGGAGAACTGGCTCCTCGCAGTCTGCTGAGATGGTTTTTGCTCTGAAAACGTTCTCTCTTCAGATAATGATTGGTGAAAATGTTTGCGATGACATTTTTGTCTGGAATCTTTCCTTATCACTTATGCAGAAATGAACGATTTTCTTCTTTTTGATTGGAACACAAAAGAACTACTTAAACAACGCCATCGAGGAAACTCCCTTATCACCTTCGCACTATTCAATTCTAATGACCGTTGTAGAGTTACGGGGAAATAGCAAAAAGTGAAGAAAAGCAAAGGAGTAGCCGAAACGCGGCTTTCCCTACCAGGACGTCCCCAGGACCTGAGTGATACCTACCGGAAGGTCCCATAGGACGCGAGTGTACCTCCCAATACATCGAATAATACCCTTCCCTTAGAAAAAACTGCACAGTACGATTGCAAGGCCATCTTAATAACTGGGTAGGCATCGGCTCATTGGCATGAGCTTGATCCAGGCCGTAATTCCTGGAATGGTAACCAGTTACCAGCCTGGGGACGATTATACTGGCAGATCCGGTTGTTCCATATAAAAGCCAAACATAAATACCATACTATATGAGAAAATGGACGAAAAACGTCGACAAGACACCGGCAATAGCTGAGGATAGTATTGGCAGGACCGGTATTACTGACTGGTACAATTGCTGACTAATATATTGGAAAACTGCTGCGCACTTCTCTCTTCTATACTCTCTCTCCCACCCAACAGATAGCGTTTGAGAAAAAACGTCATGCACTTCTGCATTTTCTCGGCAATCAGTATTACCTAGTAAATTACCAAAAATCACTTAAATTCTCCCCTCGAATAGTCAGTGAAAGGATGCGTGCATTCCGCGATATTCCAACTAGACTTTTGCCAAAGACAAATTGCTTTTGCCGCCCATCAGAAAATCGTTCAATCAACCGGGAGATGGTATCAGGGGACTTGAGCCTTATACGAATAGAGAAATGTGAAAAACGGCGAAGGGGAAAAAAATCTCAATTCCGAAACAACCAAAACTTATCCATTTCGAGAAAAGGGCATTCCGATTTGGGAGCTCATTCATCAAAAGTCAAGATTTCTCAGAGCTACACGCTTTGACGGAATCTAATGAGCTTTTCCGAATCATTTTTAGAGAACGAAGTTAAGGCCGCTCTGACCTAGACCACAGGAGCCGAACTGAGCGAGATACCTATGCATACCCCTCGAAGACTCAATTCTCTCTTTGGCTGGAGAGGTTCAATCTCTGGAGTCGAAGGAGTTATGCGAATTCCAGTTGTAAGAAAAAAGATTGACTTGCTGTCACCGGCTACATTTTCCTTCAGAAATAATAGAATTGCCACCAAGAGGGATAAAGGAGAGTCCATAGGAGAGAGTCTATAAAGGGATGGGCGGTTTTGACGAGATCAAATGAGTAAAGTAGTATCTTTTTTGATTTCGAATCGTGTAAGTATGTTTCTTCTCATGTCAACCGAGTTTCCTTCTCTGCAAGATCGGATAATTGGTGACAGATCCATCTGGGAGTATCCGTTTGGGAGTTCACTGACTTTTTACATCTACTGTCTACGCCAGGCCATTGTATAGGTCGCATACGCATTCGGATCCGGCTGCGATTTTGACCGAAAGTCAAATGCGAGGCGCATATCAAAAACAGGGCGGGGGCAGCATCTGAGTCTTTACGTGTAGTTCAGAGCCCTGAGAATGCATAATGGCTCTACCACTTGTCATCCCACTGTATGGTGCATTAATGTTCAGTGAGGACCAGTCGATACAGAAAAAANAAAAAACTAAAGGACGAGTTAATTGATGGCATTGTCCACTCTATCAAATGGCTTGAGGGCTAGCAGAATGCTCTGTTCCTGAGGATGACAGAACAGGATTCTCTTGAGAGCTATTTGACAATATTGTTGAACCCATCCAGCAGTTGAGCCCAGTTGTCACCAAAACAGGGGAAACCGTTAACCTGATCCATCAAGAAGTTTTTCTGAGGCCTCTTGAGAGCGAGCAACACTAAAAGAAAACAACCTTACAGCAGATCCCTGCTACTATTTTTCTAAATACCCTCTTTTTCTCGAAAACTTGCATCACCTGAAGTAGGAAACTTTAGAGGCACGTTGACCCTTCTGAGAACCTTTCCCAAACATTCTCAGGTTACGCCCATATGGCTGATCCACCCACTGGTTTTTCTGAGATTTTCCAAGATCTACATAAGGATTCGATCAACAGGAGCCGACCAACTCGAGCCGACCCATCTAGCAGCTCTTTAAGAATTTCAGAGATTCTGCCAATACTCTTTAACGTTTCTACGAGACGTTATCACTTAATAAATCGTTGAAAACTTTTTTTTTCACCCGAGATGGCAGTCTCGACGGAGCTTCTTGGGGTTCACACCGGTTCACACAGATAAGGGCGTAGCTGGTTCTCCCCCATTGATAAGTGCCGTTGATCGATTTCTAATCATAGAAAACCAATCTCCAAATGGAATTCATTATCTATGATTGATCACTATGGTTGTGTGAAAACCGTTCATCTCAACATTTTCTAATCGATTTGACGGAATACCTTTTCCAAGGTATTGTTATTTTACAAAACTAGATTTGAGAACTGAACTTCTATAGAAGAACTCTCTTATAACGTAGGAAAACTTGGTGTTTTGTCGTATAGAAGACTCTCGGGATTGGGAGAGATTGGAAATTCTGGAAACCAGAACGAAACAAAAATCGAAAAACGTCTGGAGTAAGAAAAAAAGGAGCCATGTCAAAGTCAATTAGCTACACGACAAACCTTCGTAACGGTTTTGGAGAGCCATAATAATTGTAGATATAAATCTCTTTGAAAACTTTTCGACGCATCGCCGTCGATAGTCGAGTTCACGAAGTAGATGATGAACCGAATATGAATTTGCCTTCTGTTTCGATGACAGAAAAAACGATGACGTCGCGGTGACTGACTGACTGACTGCTAACGGACAGACGACGACAGATCAACGATGACGCTCAGAGATGGAGCAACGTGATGATTGTGATGAGAGAAACGAGTTCCGTCGTCCACCACTATCCAACTCCGACTGACGACGCGGGATCTGGCGGCAGTCGTGATCAGCAGCAATCGCGCAATAGTTACGTAAGCCACTGGCTGCAACGGACGGAAGCCTCTTGCAGAGTTGTGTCTTCTGCACCCGACGACGGTAAAGCGGCACGTGGGCGTTACGTGAAGGGATGACGCTACGGCTACGGCGGTGGTGCTGGTAGTGGTGGTGGTGGTGGTGGTAGCGGTAAGAGAACCGGGTCTTTTCGGACATGCGCTACTTGACGGGAAAAACTGAATAGAGATATCTTGGATTGTAATTTGATAGACGGCGCCCAAAAAGGGTGTGTCTCTAGCGAATGGACAAGATCAACTCATAAAAAAAGACAGAACAACACTGAAAAGTCCCAGCATATGTACCAATTTGATAAGGCCACGTCCATCAAGGCTTAGTGTGAACAGCTTATTCCTGAATTAATACGAAGAAAGACCCGCTGTAAGTTCCGCTCTCGAAAAAGTGCCATTTAAGAGTCAAGGGTGTCAAGGAAGTGTGACGTCGGTGAGGAATCCATTAAAGAGGTGTTTAGCGGAGAAGCACGCATTCATCGGTAGTGATAGAGGAAAGAAAACAATCCACAACGATTCCAACCAAAAGAAACCGTTGCGACCCTGTAGCCAGTTAGGAAATACTCCAGTCAGGTGTCAGATCCTTAAGTTACCGCAACTTTACTAGTATAAGGGCATGGAAGGATTTAAATTAACTATACTTCGAGAAAGGAGGCGGGCGAAGGCCGTGTCATAGAAATTTTGACGAAAAATTTTTTCGAGGCCTTCAAAATTCTCACGAAGCAGCATGGGATACTGTAAATCTGGGCCTGCAGCAGATGGTCGCTTGTAGGGAAGAAAAATTCTTACGAAATTTCGCTTAGTTTGTTCGTTTACTAAAAATATTTGATGAAACCCGAAACCAACTACAAACCAATTACAGTATCTGAATAAATCTTCTGAAGACCAATTATGTTCAAGTTAATGTCTATCGTTAGCTTTGCTCAATCTGCTGATTTACACTAACAATGGATGACCGCATTACGTAAACCAGACGAGCATGTCTCAGGGAACAAGGTCGTTAGGTTCGCATCAACCGTAATCACCACGCATTTATGAGAATTTGTCCTGATTGTGTAGCTTCAGAACAACCGGAGGCAATGAGATGATTATGAAAGAACAAAGATGAGACGAAGAAATACGCGTGTTCCCAAACTCAGTCTGGGAAGCCCCCAGGTAGCAGTACACGTTAGCAAAAGATGGAACTCACAATCATCGTACAGCTGCCGAGGTTACAGACGAGAGCGGACGGGTGTCGAAGACGAGAGCGGGCGGCTCCACTGCCACTGGCTGCATCCAACAGCAATCACCCTATCGCATCTAGAGCCCTCCCGCGGGAGAATTGCTTCCATCTAGCGCGAAAGATACATGGATAGAGCGGCAAGTGTGGGGTTATGGCTCTACACGAATACATGCTCTCTCGGCAGCAAATCTAACCAGCTCTCGCCCCATGGTCCCCTGGGTGTAGTGTCAAAAGTCGCACACATTTGCATAGCATCCATCATTGGCAGCCGGCCAAACCGCGGGAACGACAAATAGCCCCAGTGGGCATATGCATTGCTGCCCGTTACAGACACCACAATTCAACTTCATCCAATGTCGACAAGCCCCGAAAAGAGCTTTTCGAACAATTAGTTTGAGAGCTCGATTGGAGCTTTATCTGTCAGAGGTTGAGTAGTCAAACTGAGGTTATCCCACTCGATCCACGACTATAGCTCCTTCGATTCCCTTGGTCTTTCTCCCGGAAAAAGGTAGTTTCTCATCCGAAAGTACCTTGGAACAGGTAAACATAAATATAGACTTCACAAACAAACAATATCTTCCAGATAAGCAGCACCAGGTCGAACCGTGAGAAATGGAAGTTGACCTAGGCACTACTCCAAAATCCACTTGCTCTTGACTCCCTAGATGAGCCCAAGACTTTCCGTTTTAGAACTGAGGCAACTACCAAGCATCAAACTCAAATTTTACCAATCATTACTACTTTGTCAGAAGAAGACATCATTAGGTATATATATTGACCCATCCACTTTGATTTTGTGAAACTCGGTACTCCCCAACTACACGAGAAAGCCGAAGAACCGACTAAAGTAGTTCAGCCTATCCCCGAACAGTAGCGAGAAAGGCTTAAATCAAAAATAGATTCATAAGTCCTGAGTGGAGCCATTCCAGACCTAACGAGCCATTTCAGACTCGACAAGTCCTCTACTCTCTACCGTATTCGGGAACAATACTTCTGCTTCCCAGAATTCCAACCTTTCCGAAGTTTCTAGATAAATTTTCCACAGCAAGCGTGGGCATCGCTTTTTGGGATCGCGTGTGGGGCAAAACCATACCTGAGCACAAGTTGAGCAGTACTGGTAGCCACATTTTTGGCTTTTTGTACAAGGTGATCATGGAAGTACGATTGTTCATGTGTTGGCTCATCCATCGTATTGATGACTTGCTGTGAAAAATCGCCGACTCGTCCGGCTGCTGCCAATACGGTCGTTCGTTTCTCCTGAAAAAAACGGAACCATATGTCTCACAACGGACAACCACATAGAAATCGTTATCCATCAATCATTTTCGTGATATTGGGGAGTAAAATTGCCTTAAACTTTGCAGAGTACTGGAATTTTCCTCTGACACATTTAATCGCTTTTATATTCGCAATACTGCTAAGTGGTAACAAAATTTCGAAATTATGGAAAATTATTTGTTTTTATTCGACAATATAAAGAACAGTAATAGTAACAACCATGATAGAAAGCTTCAACTGAATAATCCCAACAGACCTCATGTTCTGGATTGACTGCATGAAGGAAGTCACCGAATGCTCCGCAAAGTTTTCGAGTAGCTTCGACGAGGTCGTCGCTAAAAATTCAAGTTTCACTATTTCAATAATTGACATATTCATGAATATTTTTATGTATTATTTATATTATTCATTACTATTTCAATACCGTCTTATTTGTAGTGATTTATTTACATTTGTTTATTTATTCAATTTATTTATAATTTACGAGCACATAAGGGGAGTTTGTGATAAGGGGGAGCTATAACCCCATCCGAAACCTCAGTCAAGATCGAATGGGTCAGGTTGTGTTCGAGGCGAGAATACTAATGGGATGTGGTGAGCTCGAAAATGACTCAATGCATTCAATCAGAAATCAGAGAATTTTTTCAGAGTTAATTAGGATTAACCAGAAACACGGTACCATAAAGTAATTCAGCTCGCTAGGGCCTATCCACTGAGTATACCCAGCTCAAGCTTGAAGCACGAGAAGAAAGAGAAATTCGAGAGCTCTTACGAACTTTTCATTCTTTCCCTTTCTTGAGAGAAAAAAATCAGAAAATCGAAGAAGAAGACGGGCCTAGGTAAATAAGGGCATGGAGACTCGTAGACGAAACGAAACAGGAAGAAGAGGGGAAATGGGAAGAAGGCAAAACTCAAGTATTCCGAATTATTATCACAGGTACACATTAATTTCAACTTGATTTTCCGAGCAGATACAAATATTGATGAGAATTCACCTAGTAGGTAAAGGATTCGGGTAGGAATAAGACTGAAATAAGCAGACAAGATTCGACCACAGAATCTTATCATTCAGTAAAAAGTACTTGGTTTAAAAGTTTCAAGTTACTCTATTCGAATGTCCGAGTGCAGTTTGTGATTCTCTGCTTTTCCAATATGGATTACAATTATCTACTTTTCAATCGATTTTTCAATTAATAAATTAGGTTTATTACCGTCTTCGATCAGGCATGAACTGAGCCAAATCGCGAACATTTCTTCCGACATCCGGTAAGTTTGAGCCAATCGTCGCAATGGCAGTTCCGACACGATCATCATATTCTTCTTGTACCGCTGTCCATTGTACAACCTGGAAACACTCATATAACAACGGGATTGCCGTTTTATAGGTGAAATTTGACGGCTCGGAGCTATGGGCTAGTGCCTTCACGACTCTACATGCACTTCTACTATTCCATGGGCAGGGTGGCCGTTGGGAGTCTCGAAAGGGACACTTCTCCAGCAAGACAACTAACCAGTAATATCAATCGTATGACAGCTCGAACAAGACAACTAACAATGGCTAGGCGATCTGAATGGATTGGACCTTTTTATGAGCGCTCCTATAAGCACTTCTCAAGCAAGACCTTTTCTCTATTATGCCCGATTACTTCTTACTACTTCTGGAAATCTATTATACTCAAATCCAAAAAGTAAATATAAACCCAAATATTCTACAACTTATTAGCTCCCATACAAGTCTTCCCAGACAATGGGACTTTACCCCATCATTCATTATTTACCCAAGCAACCCTAAATGTCAGTTGTCCAAAGATCAAATACGGCTATGAAGATAAAGCATGTCTGAGGAACCTCATCAACGAAAAAAGGCTCTTCAACATTTCCCAAATGGACAGTTACTCAAGCACCCAACCAGTTTTGCTTTCAAAAAGAAAGCCATCGCCAATGGGGCGAGGGCGGGCATTCAATGATCCGGGCGCATGAACCATACAATTGGGCAACGCAGGTGATCCACCAATGATGGCCACCGGAAGCCCTTTGCAGGTAAGCGCGGCGCCAATCAATATCACGCGTCCTTTAACTCTGTCCACCTTTTGGGTGGACCAGAAGCAACAGAGTAAACACCATATGAAACTAACCTGAGCCGTTGCTGCACCCATGGCGGCAAGACGTTCATTGACGTTCTCTTTGTTAATGATGACCTGTTCGTCAACCCATCTGAAACAACAGAAACTTGGTGAAAAACGTTCAAAAAACTCAAAACAAATAGAGACCGAGTGTAAAAGTCAATATGCGCCACCTTGAAATGACAGAAAACCCGGTACTAATTTTGAAAAAGTAGATTTCATGAATACATCAATAAATTGGCAGAGTACTGACTTTCTTTTAGAATAGTCATCAGGGAATCGTGGCAGTTCGATCTCCGGCTCTCGTTCGAGCTCCTCTTCAGCTTCCGCCACTGATTTAATCGTAGCTTCAATTGTGCCGACCAGAGCACGTTGCGGATGCTCATAGGTATCGAGAATGCGAAGACGTTGAGCCTAAAGACAAAAGTCAAAATAGAAATCAAGTAACTCTGAAGAGATTCAGACAGAAATAGAGAAAGAGAAGACCACTTATGGAGAAGATTGAGGGACAAAAAGGGAGCAAGAACCTCTGCAGAACACACTCGGTCCGCTCTCTCAATCAAACGCTATGGCGGAGTCAGTTGCATCGAGCACAAGCATCATACTAGTTTTGCACTGAATACTTACTACTAAGTAGATCCAAATGGTATGTTTACTTAAAGCTCTCGAGTTGAATGATGAAAGGATTTCCGAAAAAAAAGGTGAGGTCCGAAAGGAGGAAAAGGAGGACAAGTAAACCAAGGCTCACAAAATGAGAATGTATCGTGAATTGTAAGGAAGACCCACTAAGAACAAAGAATTTTGAAATTCTCTGAAATCTGAAAAAAATTGAATTGAAATCTTCCAATCTCTCACAACTACAATCCAGGTGATCTCGTTTTCAAACATGAACACTACGAAATTGCGGATAGAAGGGGCGGGGCGCTCGTGTGCGCGCGACAGCGACGCGTACTTATGTTGACCGTGGCCGTGTTTAATTTTTTTGCGAAATTCCGGTGAATCTTGACACATTTCCAATATTTTGACCAGAATTAGCTTGGCTAATATGTCATAACTGATTTTCTTTGTGAGAACTTTCATTTTCTTACGAAAATTCAGTAGAAGGGATTCCCATGTGGACATTTGTGAGGGGAAAACGTTGTGGATTTTCCCACAAAAAAGATAAAAAATTTAAATGCGTGGATCACCATGCAAGAATTAATTAGCATCAAACTTTTTTTGAACTACAATACACTGTCGTCGTTGTTGACCTTGTAATCAATCACTACGAACCCACTTAAATTATGATTCCCCGAGTAAAGTTAATACCTGGCGATTTAAGACTGTTTACCCATTTCACAGTAATCGTTCAGTTAGAGTGGGGAGCAAGTAGTACACAGCTCTAACATGACTGGGCCTTGAGTGAAAACCCGATGAAATTACTGTCGCAAAGGTGAACCGACGAAGATCTAGCTCGGCCCAACAGCCATAGGGATGACGCGCATGAACGACAATAGCGATTTTCGTGTTACCATAGCGGCATTAGTAATTATTAACCAGTACTGGACCCAGTTCCCGACATGGGCCCATTGGACGCCTCTTTATCGCTAATTGGGAACGAGCGGCCAGGTCATTTCGGTTGCGACACTCTGTAAACACTTTAATACTGCTCAACAGATGGGGTATTAAGCAGAGAAGGAGCGGAAAGCGGTCAACGGCTGAAATCTGTCTTTGGGGGCTTTTCTAGGGTCATAATTGCTGAGAGAATTGAATATCTCAGGTTTTGAGTGGGGAGAAATCACTAGAAAAGCGACACGCTGAATTCCTTACTGTAATAGATATGTATTATCGAAAAGCATCTCGTCCGAAATATTGGAAGTTGTAAGATTTTTCTTTAGGACAGACCTATACTGGAATAGCGGCATGTGTTGTACTCCCATTCTATGTTGAAACTGCATTTGAATGCGTATTCAGCTTCTACAACGACTTGTAGGGTCGACCGAAACCAAGTTAGTTGGAGATTAACTTTCCCTAAAGAGCCTCGACTCTGTGGCATATGGCTTATTCGGTTTACGTGGGTATCGGATCTGAGTCGGATCACTGATGGGGTAAGAAGTTTGCTCTCCCAGGAAAGCCTCAACTCTTGTGGGATGTGGAGCTTAGTTGGGTATCGATTCAGGATTCAATCCAAGGACTCCAGGTGTGGTACCGGTGCTACCCGGCAGCTATACCTTCACATCTCTGAAAAACTATTGATAGAGACCCATGATATAATTACTAGAGAAAAGGGGCCCTCATGGGGGTTCAACTAGGGAGATCAGGACCTTATGCAGCAAATTAGGATGGCGTCTCTTAACTTGAATATACCGGTCAAAATGTGAACCAGTAAGGTTATTTGTAGGGGTGGTACTGGTGATAATATGTTCAAACCTGAATTTACACGGAAAATCATGAAAACCGCTATTTAAACTTGTAATAACATGGTAAAGGCAAAGGCAGTGGCTGCGTTGCTCATTTCACACCTCGACAGAGTTCGACCCGGTGATGGGACGTCTCATGCTGATCAAGTTACCCAGGTAAAGACCCATGTGAAGGTCCCCCCACCTCATTGTAACTGAGTAACTACTAGTTTGTTTAGTTCCGTAGTAATATTGAGGAACAGGTTTCAGATCAGCAAATAAGTAGAAAAACTCGAGCTGGTAGAGGCTGGAATCCCCGTATCCCATGATTGGTGGCCCCAATCGGTCCTCAATAAGGCACTTATTTTTATCCTTTTTTTCCTGGAATTCTCGCCCTTTTCCTCGATTTTGCATACCAAACTTGCATCAAAGAATGCGGGGAGTTCTCAAATAACAAAAGTGAGGTCCATCTATCTTATCCCAACCGTACTAATCAATTCACTACTACCTCATACTAAAAGAAATCCTTCAGCGGTAAACATGATGCTAAGCTAGTTTAAGGGACCCAATCTAGGTTTTTCGGGCCGGCTGTTTAAGAATACTTCGATCTAGCCACAGTGTGCCAAGACTGTCGCACATACAGATGAAAAAGTCTGTAACGAAGAAGGGGAAGAACAAAGTTGAGCGGGCCTCCTCTGACATAGGACATAGGCCCCTAGATTACGGTAGCGATTCGATGCAAATCGGTTTTGTTGATTTTGGCATAATTAAACTTTTCCTGTTCTGCGTCTCCTCTGTTGTTTACAATATTTGATCCATCCTGCTCTTCAGTTGTCCTGTTAGTTTAAAATAAATAAGTATTGATTTTTCTTCCAAAGAGCACCGTCCCCCTAGTCGCCTCTGAGAACAAATACGGTGAATGGAATGGACCTCAAATAGGTCGAGATCAATCAGTAGGAGGAAGAAAAGAAAAAGCTAGAAATCACTCATTAACCAAACCGAGAAGCGAATAAATTCCTACATTGGAGCTTAAGAGAACAAGATTAAGCACGTTTTTCACGAATGGGAAGTCATGGAAGGGAGACAATTTTTCTTGGGGTTTATTTTTACTGACAAATTAGAAACCGCATCAGCATTCAAATCTCTTGATATTTCAGATATACTGATTGATTTTCCAGTTATCTCAGACATGCTAATTGTAGAAAATCGTCATTATTGGAAGATANCGAATGGGAAGTCATGGAAGGGAGACAATTTTTCTTGGGGTTTATTTTTACTGACAAATTAGAAACCACATAAGCTTTCAAAACTCTTGATATTTCAAATATACTGATTGATTTTCCAGTTATCTCAGACATGCTAATTGTAGAAAATCGTCATTATTGGAAGATAATGACCTTCAGAGTTTACTCGAAGGTAGGCACCATATAGGCTGAGCTTTATAACCAACCGAAAGATCTTTTCGTTTTAGCTCGAAGGGCTACGCCTGCTCCCCTTTCAAAAATGACTCTGAGGGATCTGAGGTCTCCGGTTTGGGAAAAACGTCTGTATACGGAGCGGCATCTCAATGCATTTCTAAGACCCTTATTTGGAAGATTCAGTACACCCGAGCTTACGGACAAGAATCTTCTTTCTATGCACCCCCTTGGTGCCTTTCCAAGCTTGCCGCCATTACAAGTCGGTAGCTACGGCTGACCCTCGGTTAGGGGGCAAAAACGTAACTTAGGCCTAGGCCTAGGCGTTGAAAAGAACTCGTGCCTTAGTCTACATCGCGATGGCAAACTCAGAGAATTAGCTCTTCATCTGTACTCGTACAAGACGCTGTTGAAAGTAATTATACCCTTCACCGAATCTCCCTCACGAGACTGTCAGATGCCATCTCCTAGAGATTAGTTTGACGTTAGTTCCTGGCGATTTTTTCAAGACATCTGAGGCGTCTAGAGAAGGTACTGTAGCGATTATGACGTTGAACGAGCCCATTCTTTATTAGAACTGTTGAAGACTTATCAGTGAGAAGCTTAGAAGTAAAATACCACGGCTTAGCATGGATTCGAAAAAAGTATTCAGGGATAAGCCTTATCCACAAGCCCCAAGCACTTTCTAGATTTTTTCAGCTTACGAGGATAAAATAATCAAATTAGAGAAGAAAGAAGTAAACAACATGACGTGGAGAGAACAAGAAACGTACTCTGCCCAGACTTTGTGATTGAATTTCACCGCTGACTGCACCATACTGAGCTCCGTTGATTCCATAGCCGTAGCCATGAGGTTGTTGCTGAGGGGTACGTAGCACACCCCGTAGGGCCACATGGCCATCCTGGGCATACTGCCCAGCCCCGATCTGTCCATGGGCCACCTGTAAGCTTACTGATACACCTGGATATTGGTGAATTAAAATAGTTTCTAGGGATTGAACTAGTCTCCGGAAAGGTGTCTTTCTCCCACCTGGATAGGGAAGTTGTAAAAAATGATACTTGCAGATAAAATGAGAAGAGTAACGAACCAATGTAGCTTTAGCTGGAGCGACAACGTCTTCGAGCATGGTCGACCCTTCGTCGCCTTCAATTCCCAAATGATCCTTCATAGCTTTCTTTTTCACGATGATATCAATATAGCCAGCAATTAGTTGGCCAATTTTTTCACCATCTAACGTCTGTACCGAATAGTAACCATCCTGATAATCACCGAAGTCCTGAAAAGAATTAGTTGAACGGTATTCAGCCATCCCCCAGGAAACAACTAGTTATGACCATAGTTTCATGAGTAAAAAATGTTCTCATCTCTGTCAACCTTTACTGGTCAGAGTTCAAAAGCTGTTCCTCTGGCCTTTTCCTGGCCCATCAGAAGTGATCGTATTTAGCTCAGACGTGACTAGTCACTGTACTCATGGAGTTAGGGACGATTAAAACTGTGCCCTGATTTCGGCTAAGCTCTGTAAACGTGACAGATCAGCTCCTTAGCTCTTTAGCTTTTCAAAGCATTAAATACTAGCTCCGCACTGCGTATGTCCCGGGTTAAACTTTAAAAAAAGTAAAAAATATCTTTGCAAAGCTGTTTTCACGCATGAAGCGTCTGCATTCAATTTTAAAAAGGATGTATAACGTCTTTCTCTAGTGCTCTTCACCAGCCGTTCCAATTATTTCCCCTTACCAGTTAGGGTGATTCGAAAGAGAGAAAACCCAAACCGTACCATACCATTCAGGCCAACCTGGACTTCCGTACCTTCAGGATCGATTAGATGGCACCAAACTGGCAGGGAGTAAAAAGGAACAGCACATTGGCCGGACAGGGCAAGCCACTCAACACGTCAAATACCTATTCAAGCCAACAGAACGATTCTGAAAGGTAGCCGAGAGCGGAGGCGCACTCCAGCGTTGCTTTAAGCTTTGCTGGGGTCCTCGAAAAAATCGACTCTTAATAAATCTCAGCACTTTTTTTTCATTTGTAAGTTTTTTTTACTTCTCGAGGTGCACAGCCGAGATTTCAACAAAATTTTATTCGGCTGACGTTTCGGCGCTTCGGCCTTTTTCAAAGCCTTCAAAGGCAAAAGCCACATGAAAAAGCTCAATCACTATTCCAGCCAAAAGGGAAAAAGAAGGGGGATTCAAACACTATTTACACCCGC